TCCGTAGGATATTGAGAAATTTTTTAGAAAATCTGTTCTTGTTAAAAAAACGTCGTTCTTTCTTTGATCGTTTTCTCGGAATCGTTTGGTGAAGCCTCGCGAAATGATTTTTCTATATAATATCGTTGAAATAATAGCGCGAAAATCGAATACGCTTTATCTTTGATCGCGGCCAAATCCGAGTGCGCCGTCGTCGGAGGGGTTTTAAAGCCATTCGTGAACGACCCGTCCTTTGTAACCCGTCATCGGAAACCCCGGCGGTACCGGAGATTAATCTCTTTAAATGAAAAGACGTAGATATTGCTCGCGCGCAAACGGAACGAAATTGTAGTCAACCGAAAACGGAGAAAGAAGTTTTTTGGAACAGCGAAAGGAACTTGCAGGGCCTACTTTTTTGTTAACACCAACAAAACGTTTTGTCAGTGAAACTAAAAAAAAAAAACAAATTCAGTAGATCCGGCGAGTTTCTTTCTCCACTGTTCGTGTAACTAATCTTCTTGCTATTCCGACAAAAAGATAATTTTTTTCCAGCGAACTTTTTCCTCCGACTTGTTGTATCTCGAGAGTTTTCATTTAGCGCGCAAAGTCCGCGAACGTTCTATCGTACACTCGTTTCGATTTTACTCCCACATCGAAAAGGAAGTCGCTCTTTTCCCCGTCTTGTTCTGTTTCTTTCTCCCTCGAGTAACTTTCGTCTTGGTTCCACACACACCCACACACACACACTTACACACTGAACTTTTTCACCGCCGAATAAAAACAGCGACGTTGACTACATTGTGCGCTGCGGAGAGCACATCGTGCGGAAGCACCGCACGAAAGTTGCCGTAACTTTCTTCGACACTTTTATTCGTCCTGCTTGAACGCGACTTAATACACCAATTTGCACCTTATCAATTTTCCTTCGACAAATTACATGTGATGGTGTAAAATTTTTTTTTTTCTAAATTTTGCGTCGCGCTTCCCGAACGAAAAACGCGACAATTTTTCACGCGAGTGAACGTTCGCAGTTTCTTTCGTATACGTGCAATTTGACTGATTAGTCGTTTCCAAGTTTTATCTGCCAATTCTGCCATTATATCACACGGTGATTTCTCACGTAGGTATCGTACGTACGCGAAATATATATTTTTGTTTGTGTTCTGTTATCATTTCAAAGTACTCCGTTGGTGATACGAGCTTATTAACAGTGTTACACTGTATTTTTTGCAATTCTCTTGGTAGCAGATAGTGGCGAAGTGAACACGGGCCGCGGCATCTAGAAGCAAATTGCAGAGAAAAGTGCTCTTTCCTCTTATCAGGGTCGTTATGGTGACTCTCGCGAGACACGTTGCATTATACATGCACGTATTCAGACTATACGTCTGCACTTTTTTCCAATAGCATACGCGTGGAAAGTATCAGCTTAAACACGTTACTTCACTAAAAAAAAAAAAAAAAATAAAAGCGAAAAGTAACCTCGTGCCTCGCGGAAAAAAAAAAAAAAAAAAGAATATGATAACACCTGTTCTATCTTCTTTTTTTTTTTTTTTTTTTTTTTTAATAATATACGCAACGAGACATGAGTTGCGAGCGCGTAAGTGAGAAGTCATAGAATTAAATTTGTCTCAAGACAACGGTGAGACAAAATAAATCTCCCTTATAACAAAAGCTACTGTAAAACTTCGCGATACAATGTGATATTTAGTGACGAATTGTAGGGAACAATTAGAAGTTTTGTTACATTTGAATATCCAATCTCGCGACGATTGTTTCAAGAGATCCGAATCGGACCCTCGAATCTTCCACCTCGGTCGAAAATTATTCGAACGAATTCATCGCGCCGCGATTCTCTCTTTCCAATATATATCCGCAGAAACGACAGCCGTCCCGGTGGCGAAGCGGCCAACCGCGAAGTGAACTGCGATATCCGTAGGTGGGCCGGCTTAACGTCGCCGGCACAATACGTGTTTCTGCATCGGAACGAGTTTAAACTTGCCTCGCCTATTTGCCGGTAGACACGTCGCAAACACATAACTCCGCTCCGCAGAGAGTTGTGCGGTTCTATCGTCGCGTTTGCGCGTGGCGGCCGTGCGCGCGCGTTCGAGTTATACCGACACGAATGCGCCGGAGAAAGAACGTCGTTCGCTTCTCTTCGCACAGCGTCGCCACGCTGCGAACTTTTGTGATCGAAACGAGAAACTTTGCCGTGTCTTTGCGACGAAGCGGAGACATTTTTTCTTTGGACACGAGCCGATGCTCCTATCGCGCAGTTTTGAAACGGTTCTTCTTCTTAAACTATACTCCCCTCAAATAACGCGAGAAGTTAACTGAAGACAGATGAACCGGAAAAAGCTGTCGTGGATAGGAAGGACGTGGGTGGCAGTTGCGATGAGTCGCGTCAACAAACTTTTGGGTTAATCAATCCCGCGTTAGCAACTTTCTGTGTCTCTCTTATCCGATAACCTCATCAAAGGGTATATATAAGTTTCGACGTTTCAATCAGCTGTTCTTTTACAAAAAGTAGCTTTCCGCAGATTAATAGTTGTAGAAAGAGTTTTGTGAAGACACATTCTCAGTCACATTGTAAAGTTACGTGGGCTGATGGGGGTCTGTGACACGTGAGAGTCTTCAAAGAGAGACGGCGATTTTCTTTAAGCAGATAAATGACAGCAGGGATCTCTGTGAACTTTAAAGCCAACGGATCGAAAGTTCTTCATCTTCCTGCATTCCCTCGTCGGTTAAAATATATTACGATATCGACGTATGCAGATATCTCAGCTATTTCGACGGATATTTTATCTTGAATGTTCTACTAGAGTCTAGACGATAAATTTTTTTTTTCTTAAGCCACTGTCAGCGTCAGGCAACACTCGGACGGTGTTTCGGCAATTTATTTCGCGTTTTTTTTTTTTTTTTTTTTTTTTTTT